CCACTGGCTCCACGCTTCAGCTGCTCGCCACCCCTTGCCTACCACCTGCACAGGCGCTGCTCGCCCATAGGATCAGCTCTCAATACAGATATTCCTTGACTCATATTTGGAACAAATATCTTTAATTCATACCAGATTCAGGCACTCAGTGAAATTTTAAAACAAAAGCTGCATCAGAACTTGAATTATTTGAACATTAAATCCATGGAGAATAAGAGTTTTTGAACAAATGATGTGACGTTTATAAAGTGCTCATTGCTGAATACACACACTAGCTGACAAAGTCTGTCTAAGCAAGAAAACAAAAGTTCATAGAGATGAGACAAATTTAAAATAAAAGGCACTGACATTCATCTTCTCATCAAAAGCTTTTACCTGGGCCATCCATATGTTAAGCTGATGATACAAATCTGTAATAAAATCTCAGTTTCCTCTGCTTCAGGAAACAGAACTATCAGTCTATCTGACTGAGCAGTATATCACCAGGTGAAATACATTATGGCTCTATAGAATGGCAAGAGCACAATAACTTGTTGCTATAATCATAAAAATGTTTACTGGAGCTCTACCCAGCACTGTTCCAAGATAAAGTGTATGGTTCTGCCAATAAATTCTACCTAGAATATCATTGCAGAATTCTGGCAGATAAAGAGCAAAGAGTCATTATAAAATGCAGAGTCAAATTCTGAGATTCTGATCTCAGTTCCACTGGTATAACTCAACTAAAACAATAGAAAAGAAAGGTAGTTAGATGTGTTAGCCTTAAGTCAGGCAGAAGGCAGGGCAGATGTGCACCTTTTAGGCTAGGTGAATTAGAGATGCATAAGCTTTCATGAGTCAGAGCTCATTTCAGAAGTGACATACTATGAAAGAACTTGCACAAAGTAGGCTATCAAATACAGAAATCATAGGACTTACTTCCAAGTCTGCTTGCATGTACCTAAAGGGCAGAATTAGAATCTGGCCCAGTATGACCATAATTAAATCAGAGTACTGTCTACTCCAGGAAGATTACTGATTACTGTATTTTCTTGCACACAACACACACCTCTTCCCCCAAAAAAACAGCTGCTTAAAATTTGGGTGCATATTATAAGCAAGGTAATATGGTAATATTTACTTATATAATATTCCATATTATGAAAATATGGTTTCTGCCAGGTAAAAGCAAAAGCAACTCTGTACCTTATCCACAGGGAGGAAAGCAAGGACCAGGTTAGGCCGCCTAGCTGCTGCTACTCAGTTACTTACTATAAGGGAAGATGTTTTTGAAGAGCAGAATGAAGACAAAAAAGAATGTGCAAGTCTTATTTCAGGGTATATTGTATGTAAGAAAATATGGTATTCACAAAACATAATCACAGGAGCTACACTACAAATATTAACACAACGTAGCATGAACTCATTTCTTAAACAGCTTGAATTAACACTATAATTAGCACTTGCTAATTTATTTATTAATCTATCAATAATAATGCATACATATTCTCAACATGCATCATTAAGTACTGTAGTAAAAAAGGCATGCACAAACAACATGATCGTTGCTTCATAGGAGTAATTTAAACCTAGAGAATATGTTTGAAAATATAGTTGAATACAAATATTTGACAGCTGCTGCAAACGTACCGATTTAGTTTCTTCATTTGTAAAATGGGAATAGTAATTTAATTACCTTGTATGGTTGTTGTAAAGATTAATTAATGTTAGTACAAAACATCAAAGAAATTAAAGTATTTGCAAGTGTAAACTATTGTCTTAATTAAAAAAAAATAGTCTAATCACAATGCCACAATGAACTTTACAATATCCACACACTACTATCATTTCTAACTATTCAACACTGGGATGTTGTCGGGATGTTTGCTACAGAATACCTTTAGTAGTAGACAGTTATATTAAGTATTCAAATAAAGCTACTTATTCTATTTAATATTTGGGAGAATTCCCCCAAAAATTCATTCGTCATTTTTCCAGTTGTAATGCAGCTGTCTTGGGACAGTGGATAATAGCATACAGTAATATTATTCAAAAGTTTAGAACAGGAAGCAAAGAATAAAATATACAGCACAAAGGGAAGTGGATATTTAAGCTGGTGGTAAGTTATTATCCAAAAGGGAGCTTGGTCAGGACACCAGGGTTAACACTGTTTGAAGAATGTCCCAGGCAATCTTTAAAAGAGGTAAAGACAGGACCTTGGCTTTAGATCTTGTCTGTATGACAGCACCTCCAGCAACACACTAATTAATCTAACAGCACAGTACCTAACATGTAGCACTGTTCACTAACAAGAAAAGCACCCTATGCAAGGGATGTTCCTAGCAAGGTGCTTTGCCCAATCTTGGTAGCATAGGAAGCTAAGGAGTAGTATAAAACAACACTGGCATAACAAGAATCAGGCTATAGGGGTTGAATTGGCTCTGGCATTCTAGCTTCTTTTCTGTCCACTCAGTTTGCATTTACCTTTGGTACTGAACCCATCCACACAAGGTGACATCTTGGCCCACATGAGCAGAACGCAGCTCTCCACAAGTGTTGGTCCGAGCAGCAAAGCTATTGAAATCTTGGGGTAGGGGGAGAAAAGCCACAGAAGGTTTTAGGGGCGCGCAAATGCTAATGTGATGCTAAAGGAGCTTCAATGCACTTGACAGTCACAGAGAAAGAGGTCACTTCACCCACCATCCTGGAAACCAGCAGGATGTGGGAACACTGCAAACTGTTTCAGGAAAGGAAGCAAATGAATTCTATATATCCAAACAAAACCACAAGGAGGCAAAAGGCAGTTACCCAAGTGAAATATAGCTCTTTAGAAGTATCATTATGTATTTAAGCATCTCAAGACTGATATTCCACATTTTGTATCAAGGAACGAACAAATACTGACTCTGGAAGTCTGAGTCCATGTTATGCTTATACTGCAAGTAAAAGGGGTGTGATTCTCTCACCCTAATTCCACTTTGGTGCTCTCTGATGACAACGAACATTTCAGTATAACCTGCCACAGTTGTAAATTTCTGCTCAAGAAAAGCCCAGAGCAAAAGCAGAGAAGGATGCTTCAAGTCAGCCTTAAAACACGCTGGCAGATCTGTGTTGGCAGCAGTAGTACTAGGTCTAGCTTGAAACATATTGGCAAAATTGTATAAAGGAAGTCTGAATAGTCCCAATCTTTGCTGAAGGTTTAATAAAGAGTTTGACCTAAAAATAGGGGTGGGCAAAATATGGCTCATGGGCCAGATCTTGCCCACAAAGTAATTTTCTCCCATCCACAGAGGGTCCCTTGGCTCTGCCCAGCCCAGGCACAGGGGGCAGACTGGGACCATGGCGAGAGTGGCTGGTCCCCCTACCCCCAGGTGCGGTGGTGACACTTGGTGCAGCCTGCCCTGTCCCCAGGCCTGGCTCTTGGGCACACTGGGAGCTGTAGTCAGCAAGACAGGGGCAGCATGGTGGCTGGACTCAGCTTTCTGGCATCCCCACTGCCCCCATCTACACCACTGCCAGACCCAGCCTCATCGCCCAGGCACATCCACCACACACCCACTGCTGGAGGTGCCAAATGGAGCAGGTGGATGGGCAGGGGTGGAGACAGTCCCAGGACCCCTACAGGCAGATGGGATGGGGTCATGGGCAGGCAGGGAGCAGCACCTGGGAGAAGGATGGGTGGGTGGGGCTAGGGCCGGGATTGCAGTGGTGACAGGGCAGGGCCAGGGCCCAGGGCAGAGCCATGATCTGCTCCCTGTATGTCCCTGCCCACGATCCCAGCTCTGCGCTCTCACTGCCCTGTGATCCCGACCCTGACCCCAACCACACCCATCCCATGCCTGGACACCTATCTTTACCTGCCCACTGCCCCATCCCATCCACCAAGGTGGAGTGCGCCCTGCCTGCAGGGTTCCCCGGCTGGTGTCCATGCAGATCCCACCTCCCACCTAACACCCCCGCTAAGGGATGCAGGTCAGATGGGCTCGATAGGACCCCCTGGGGTCAGCACCATCCCCCCCCTGCAATGGCTCACTGAAACTTCTTAAGTGG